TTTTTTTTTTTTTTTTTTTTTTTTTTTTTTTTTTTTTTTTTTCAGGAAAGGACTAAAAGCAATTTTCGCTTTGCTTCCATTGCTGGGTGTGACGTTTTTGCTGGGCTTCTTTGTTGATTTTCACGTTACTTTGGAATATGTCTTTGTTTTATTGAATTCCATTCAGGTAAATTATTACGTGACGCAATCAAAGGATATTGTTGTTGTTATTGTCGCTTTTCGAGTTACTTCTTAATCAGGAAAATGGAAGAAAAGCAAAATAAAGTAGACAAACCATTCTACGATTGTAGAGTTACAACATAAGTGCGTCTCAATGAGTTTATGGCTTTTACGGCTCACTGTTAAAATTTTTGCTTTTTTACGGCTGACGGTTAATTTATTTCGAATTCCGTTTCGATTAAAGTACAGATTTTTTTTGGTCAACTTTAGTTAAGCTAACGTGTACCAATATTTTTGGGTTAAAAAAGCTTCTTTTAATATTCCAACATAAACCGAGTAGTTACATGTTCGAAAACCACGAATTAACTGACAACCCCGAATGCGCATATATTAGAGCATTAGTAGCGCGCTCATTGCGCTCATTGGGATCAGTTCATGCGCACGTGACCTGGTAATTTATGCCTGCATACTACCAACACTATTTCGTCGCATGACAGTTAATTTTTCTAAATTTCCGCCGGTTAACCCCTTTCAAGCCCTCACATAGCGGAAATTGTGCGTAATGTTGGGCAATCTTGCATTTGCAAACCACTGTAAACTGCATTCTCTTTCAAATCCTAGGGTGTGCTGTTCTTTATCTGTCACTGCGCATTTGATGATCAGGTGAGTATAAGTCCTGATTTCATTTTAGGACATTTTGATTCATTTATTTGTTTGTTTTTTTTTTCTTTCGGTTGGAAAATGATTGAAGTTTTGCATTCTGATGATCGAGAGAACGGCGCGTGTATTTCGCACCAATCGCCGAACGAAGTAGTTCAGCGCCAATACAGTCCCGGAATTACTTTAGAATCTCAACGGTGAGAGACCTTGAAAGGCTACAGATAGAAATGTAATAACGCTTTGCTTGGCCTTTTAGTCAACTTGGAGCACATTTTAAGGATTGAAGATTCTCATTAATCAACCCTTATTCAAATTATGAATGGCACCAATGAAAGTTATTCGGCTTGCTTTAAGATTATCTCCGTTAACAGAAAAAAATATATTTAACTCAGAAAATAAATATGTCAATTTTTCTTTTAAAGCTTTCCTAAACGTTTCAATTTTTTGAAAACTAAATGTATAGTTGTGGGATTCTCAATTTCTATGCAATCAAGTCTTTGATAAAAATTTCAAATTTGGCATTTTCCCCGATTGTCAATATAGTTTAAAAATGATCGATGCAAGAGAGAAACAATCAATTATCATCACTTTGGATGATGTTTTTTAGGTTCGCGATGCCATGAGTAAAATGTTACGTAAAAAAAAGGCGGGTTCACAGTCTCCAGCAATTCAAGCAAGAGTCCAAAATGGTGACGGAAATGGCTCACAAAACCAAAAATCTTTACTTTGTTGCCTGCGATGAATCAGGTATTTACTTTGATTCAGAATCTTCATACTCCTTGCTAGTTTTATCAAAAGTAAAGTTGTTATAAAATGATATATGATCTAACGTCTAAGATTCTAGCAACTCTTTTTCTTCGTGCACTCGTTAATTATTCAATTGCAAATAGAAATTAATAAAATAGCTACATATATATTTACTCATCGGTTTATATTAAGATTTTTCCATTCTCGTTAACCAACTGTATTTTCGCAAAAAACAGGGTAAAGGTTGTCGCACGAGCTTATGAATTTTATGGCCATATCAATTAGTTATTGATTTAAATATCTCTTAAATCCTCTAAGCCTGAAAAAAGCAAAAAAGGAGGACGACCAATGATGAAGCTAGCAACTGCCCCTAAACAGAAGAAAATAAGCCTTGTACTACAGCAATGAATGGAATTGTTCTGACTGAAAGCGATTATCATTCAACTTTGTAATATGACTTCCCTAAAGTGCAGAAAATACGTGGTAGCTTCTATAATATAGCGAAAAACTAAGAACGTGTATGAAAGCAATCAAACATTCTTGTAAAATATATTCTGCCATTTTTTAAATTTGCTGAAATAGATTTAGCAATGAAAATAAAATGGTGAAAATCCTTTTGATATATCGTATCTATTTTTGTCGTGTTTTTCAACGTCAGGAAAACAACGCAACATTCTATTGTAACAAATCAAAAGATCTAGACTGTCTTCGGAGACACTTCACATGGATGTACATCATCCATAAGGGCGGAAAGGAGGAAGTAAAGAGAGTAGGGTATAAGGGGAAATAAAGGAAATGAAAATAGGGACACTAG